TTTTCACCTCGGAGCCGGCGGATGGTCCGCCAGAATACTTTGTTTGCCGTGTGGAAATTCGACTCCAACAACTCACCAAACTTTCTTCAGGAATCAACTTTGGCTTTCGCCGCAGCAATCACTGCCTCCTTGCATGCTGCGTCATATCGCACGCGAGTAGAAGACAATGTGTTTCCAAGCCATTTCTTGAACGCCGCCTTCTTCTCTTTAACTGCCACTTGTGTTTCACATGTCCAAGATCTTTCGTGATCTCCAGGCGGCAGGGTAACCCTTTGAATCCGCAGCATTTGGTGGCTGCCTCGAGTATGGCGCTCTTAAAAAGCTGTCACTCGGTTTCCACTGCCTCCTCTGTTCACAGCGGGTAGCAACTCCACGGCTGATTGGCATCTTTATCGTCGTTTCATCGACCTTCATCAGCCGTTGTCGTGTTGCTACTCCCCTGGCTGCCAGAAGGCGATGAGCAGCTTCTGATCCCCTATTTTCGCAGCTTGGCTCAGTCCCACAACAGCCTGCGCGGCTCTTGGTAACCCGGGCGACGGCCTGCTCAGTATAATGTTCGATGACTGCAGCACCATGAGGGACAGTTGGCTAAGTTTTACGGTGACCTCTTCGCAGCGGTCTCTGACCTTTCTCAGTTCTCATCCGGGCTTGGGAGGCAACGAGCATTCGCGGCTGAAACCAAAGAAGTCGTTTTGGAGCCTTCCGCGGAATCAAAGCATATTTTCTAAAAATGGCAGTTGGCGAATGCTATGGAACACGACAACCCTTCCGAACAACAAACAAGTCTAACTGATCTAAAACCTATCGCACGTCAACCTGCCGCCAAAGCTTTGTTCTCTCTTAACCGCATAAAGAGACTAGACAGCAGGTGTGCGTACTCTCAACTCAGATGGAAATTCAGGCACTCTTGCCTAAGTGCGGTTGTAGGGCGGTAGTAAAACTATCAACGGGCTTGTCGTCGAATGTCCGTTCTAAAAATTGGATGGTAGTGCTACTGAAGTGCACAAGGCTTCGGACACTGTCTTCATTGATTTTCCATTTAAGCAATAAACTACGATTCGCTCCTAGACGTCATACGGAAAGAAAGCTCATGAGATGAAGTCACTAACGGGGTACCGTGCAAATAATATTTTCGTAGTTGTCGTAAACAGTCTCAATGAATTGCCGCCGTCACCTTCCTGCCAATGAAACATTTCCTTAGTTTACAATTAACACTTTCAACGCATGAATATGTTTTATTGCTTGAATACAGGTAATAGAGGAAGTCGCGCGGACAAAACGACTTGTTCGAGGAAGCTAATCGATTATGGAACGGTGGAGCGAAGTGATTATCAAAGGACCTGGTCAATGGCGCGATAATCTTAACGACAATCATGCGCAATTAATAATCATGAGGTTAAGCACGGATGAAAACACACAAAAGCATGCACCTGCCAGCTCAACGAACAGTCTAACGTAAGCAAATATTGAATCTTGACCAATCAACTGCCTTCGTTGTACCCTTCGGTGACGTGTTTAACCTCACCGTCTACAATTTACTTCCCTCAACTGAAGTTAACGGCAATCACAGAAATGAATCGCTAAAATGGACGAAATTAATCAAGGATCGGATTCAAAAATCGCTTCGTGATGATACAAGTACAAGTAACACGCTTTATATCAGACATGACATCGTTAAATAGGTACTTGAATCATGTTAGAAGACAGCAACGACATGAGTAAGATAAAGTGAAAAACGACGAGGCAAGCAGCTTCTAGATTGTCTAAACCGCGCCCTGGATACACTTGCGGAGGTTCTAAGCTCATCCTACCTCATGCTATTATCTAGCCAACGGACATCGACTAACGCTCAATACTCATTGCATCTGTGATGTCCTTCTGCGCGAAGATTAAGCACCACGTGGGAGACAGATGCTGCAGCAAAAAGTAATTTAGATATTAATTGAAAATCTTGTTCACGAATATGTGCATCATGCCACCGCGTTCGTGATCCGAGATTTCATAACGAATAATCGATCAACAAACGCGTCTTCGTGAGGCCTGCAGAAGTATGTGACGTGAACGTCGCCTCCTCGTGCAACAAGTGGCACGCTTGCGGGTTTCTCCCGTTTATTGGCACAGAAAGGTGATCGGCGACGAACGCCTGAGTCAAATGAGGCGGTACGCAGAAAGCCATGGTCTTGCGCAGAGGAGTGCCTAAGGTCAGCTGGGTCCAGACCCCCTAAAATTGAAGATTGCCCGCCGGTCAAGTTAATCACGTTAGTCACTCACTTGTTCAGTCGTGCGAATCAGACGACTGAAAGATCTGAAAGGTCAATTTTCTGTTAATTACTTGGGGCGGAACTCGTAAACAGAATTATTTACGTCGTAAAATGACACGCATAAATCATCTTTTACTTCACAAATAAACCGACAAAATAACAAAGGCTGGTCACATTTTGTGTGCAGTAAGTCACGCCCCTTGGACAAGTGACAGACGGTTGTCGTCTCGTTACCATCTTCATCGAGCAGTGGCGTTCCACCTATCGCTGTCGCAACCTCAAAGTGTTTACTAATCATCCGCGTAAACAATTTTGTTAACGTTCTCGTTGTCCCGCTCGCCATCCCGTCCTCATCAACTTCTGAGTGACGCGATGCTTGCGCCAAATCGCTTCGTCATCCACAAAACAAACCGCAAACTCGGCTACAGCTACACACATTAGCGAATCGAGGTGCTTGTCGTCCGTTGTGTCGTTTCCGCCAGTCATAGCTGCGGCAGTCTTTGATCAAATGTGCGGCTCGGATAGTCACTGCAGACTGAGTGAATGTTTTTGAGTTCAGAGTGACACAAATCGCAACTGTCCGTCGAACGTTTGTATTTTGCCGCATGGCGAAATCGACAGGCACAGGAACAGCGTGCTGGACCAATCCTGAGGCAACCAAAAACTCTTAGCGTTGTACCCTAGCTAATGACGGTGGGTGCAGCACAGAGAAAGCGGATTTCGGATGCGGAACGCAAGTCGGTCGATTAGGCTTCGATGATGCGTTCGTTTTTCCATCGGATGCGTAGCTGACAGCAACCGCGAATCCAATCATACCAATACTGACGTACCAGTACCACGACCACAATGATCCATAGCAACAATAAGCTGATACCAAGGTAGAATATCACGTTCATCCCTGCTATTCTGTTACTCTGTATCGAAGCAGATGCCAAACTCTCAGTGGACAGTAGAGGCACGAACTGAATTAGCGAACATGGTCATCACGCGCCTATTGCATAGAACCACAAGCCATAGGCAACACGTGCGACCGATGAGTCCTTGTACCGGTCCTGGAATGTGATAATTCGATAAGGAGGAAAAAGCGCTTAATAAACCAGCTGATCTACGCTTAAATCGAATATCCTCTGCACCAGATGTCTTGTCCTTAATGCGACTGATAGACCGAAATCCAGAAGGACCGCCAGTAGGTTGGCACAAATCACATTACCGAGGCCACATTAGTTCTATACGATGCAACGTGCGCAGACGTGAGTACTTGCCTGAAAATCATATTGATCATAGAGTACAATTGTACGAACGAAACAAAAGCATGACATGTAACAAGCAAATTCAATTGGTGACGAGTCGACCATGTGAAGTGGGGCTCGCAGCTGCAATTATCATTTGCCTTTCCGTCAAGCGCGCTGTTGTCCACCGGCATGTTTTTTCTACCGCAGTTGTAGTATGATTGACGGGTGAACTGGTGTCCGTCCATGTCTAGAAACGTCGATGCGCAGCTGTTCATCGTGCGAAAGAGAACAGCCTCGCTATGAGGATACCGGCGAGGAGAGCTGACCATGGTGGCGTCGACAGATGAAGAGCTGTCGATATGGCGGCGGTCTCAAGAGTTGCTGACACGGCCGAAGCAGTGCAAACAGGCGATAGACGACGAACCGAACATCAGCATTATCGATGATCGTCGAGAGATTCGTCGTGACACAACACGAGATGGCCAACCACCCCGGTGAAGCGAGTGACGTATCGCCTCACTGCACTGCACGCGCCAAATACTCCCTGTCACCTCACCCGCGAAGCTCCTTGTTCGGACCCTGCCTTGGCCGTAGGTCCCATCCGGCTGACGCGAATGAGGTTTGTGCAAAGTTTGCGCACAGTTTGTTTTTCTGCGACGATGAACGAACGATTAAAGTACCGCCAGACACAGACACAAAATGCGCGCTTTCCTTTTCGCCACTGCATCTGAGGAAATTCCCTCGCTCAAGGATATTTTTAGCTGCTACTTGCGCACATGCATTCTGACTTGATAATGTCCTAATTATACGACGTACAAAAAAATCTGTCGAATTGTTCACTGAAACAGCTCAAAACTTGGAGAGCAGAAAGCGTGAAAATCAGTTCATCCGTCGACTGACTAGCTCCGTGGCGCTTTCAGGCTTAGAGCAGGAAATAATCACATTCTAAATGCCACACTTCAAAACCTGCCTGTCTTGTTTACTTCAACGACACTACAGGAGGATCGTTGAAGCCATAAGCTGGTATTCTCCCTCATCCCCATCGCACCGCGCATCATTGCTGTTTATCACCGTTCGCCTCGATTGACACTCTCACCTATTTGACTTATTGGTTAACTTCGCTACAGCAAGGTTAAATTTAATTACTTTGTGAAGCAGACGATGACACTTGCATCAACTCCCGTTAATGGAACTACACGGCGAATAAGTAGAAAATGATTTTCGACTGGCAATTTCCTATGCGCGAACAATGTCCTTGACGGGAGCGAATAGATCCTGACACAGCAATGTCGTTCCAATCCTTTATAGGCCATTTATTTATCAGCCGTTACGCCCATAAGCATTGATGAGCTATCGACCCTCAACGTCAGCTAGTGCAAACACGATGACTTGCTAATTATTCATCTTGCATCGTTGTAGACTTCCCAGGCAGATGGAGTTATTACGACCTTAAGCGTCATGTCACTACTCGATGAAAAGCTGAGATGCATTGTTAAAGCTTAGCCACTGTAAGAATGGAAAAGAATCGCCAGCTAGAATATGTCAAATCATATAAATTTTCTGTAACTCTAAGGGCGTCGAATATAATTGTCATGAGCGTAATAAGCATAATATTCATCAGTAGTAATAAGCCCCGATATGATAGGTTTACTAACGAACTGTTAGTTTTCGATATGATGGGTAAGGATAACAGTTACTGTCACTTCTTCAGACGCATAAGTTGTGGATCTACCATCGCTTTGCTTGTAGTAGCCTAGGGTAGGCGATGGAAATGTGGGGCTGAGTCTGTTTAAACGATCCTCTGCGCAACTAGAAGCAAAAGGGCGGTGTGACTATGCTGTATGAACCCGGAGAAGTGACAGAGATAACAAACATTATTTTGTCGATGGTAGTAATTATGTAGTTCCAGTTTCATAACTAATCACAGAATTACATGCCGAAAAAAGATAGCACGAAGCATAAACGTTCTCATAAACAGTAAAAGGCATGAGAACGTTTCTATCCATTAAACTTAAAAATTTCAAAATCGACAACAGCATACCTTAATCAGGTTCACGCTGAGATGTTCTGCTATTTCTGCAATTTTTACTAAGCGTTTCTTTAGTTTCTATTCCTTGCAGATGGATATCAGGATCTGACCAGGAAGCCGCCGGGCATCCACATTGTCCGGAAACAATGCGCAGTTTTCAAGAAAATCCGCATTGTTTACACCACGACCAGACACCATCGGTTCAAATGATGGTATATGGAGAATCCTGCCTGAAGTTGCAGCTATCCCCGATCAGACAATCGACCGTATCATCAGCTAGTGGGACGCAAAGCAGTTTGAGAGAGTAACGGCAGCATTACGCGCGCTGAACATCGGCTACGTTGCTTGGCTTGAAAATCGAAATTGGCCCTGAATATGTAGACGTTGTCGCCGTACGCAAGGCCAAGAACACAGCATCTACCGTTTTGTCAGTTTATTAGCAAGGGATGTTTACGGACGCTTTAAGATTGTCTTTCAGATTGCATTTTGCGAAACTTAATCCAGTTAGTGGCA